TCTTCTTTTTTATCCGTACTTTCCTCCAACTGCTCCGACTCAGGAAATTCATCGTGTTCTTCGCGACCAAACTGATTGTGGTATTTTTTCGTTTCCCCCTTTCGCACACTGCTGTTCTCATACATTGCAAATCTATTTCTCGCTGAACCTCTGTCAGTTGCTCTTGTGGTCTTATTTTCCACACGTCTCCCTCCTTTTTCTCTCCCTTGGTTTGTTTTTTTCCTGCCTTGCGTGATTTCAACTCTCTGTGGGTAACCAATGATGTCATCGTCATTCTCACTATTCCGACGCAATCTTTTCGCCTTCCGTGGTGCGCTTGGCGTCACTGTTCCCTCCTCTGGCCGACTTATATTCCGTCTCGGCGTTGAAGACGTCCCGTCGATCTTTTCTCTGCCTTTGGTTGTCGACTCCTTCTCCATCGATTGGTGGTGAAGATCAGTCCTTGTGCTTTTCACAACTTCTCTGGCACCATCTTCCCTCAAAGCGCTCATGTGTCTACCTGTTGTCTGACGCACATTGTATTCTTCAATGAATTGCATCTCAGCTATGTAGTGCATCCCAACTCGGATTGTATTTATTCCGAAGCGAGTTCATATGAATCAATGTCGGTTTGCATCTACCATCTTTTGGAACTCCTTTCACAAAGTCCCCTACGTTTATCATCACCAACACTGTCCAATGTTTCTTATGCCAGATCGGGACTATCACCAATCCACTATCCAAAATCTTAGATGCAAACGAAAAAATCATACCTTTTTCTCTCCCTTTCTTCAGTCTATCCTCACAGTCTGATTTTGTCTTGTCCACTGGTTGTTTCACTTGTATCAATTCGTGCCAGAACTATGTACATACAAAAACGAGACTTTTCGTCCTTCTTAATAGGCTCAAGTTGTCCCAACTATGGTGGAGGGAGAACTGGGGCGGGGGGGGCGCTCAGTGGCAGCAATCGGTACGTCAAAGCGAGCGAGTCGGTTTGCGGCACGAGCGTCTCGAACACGATTTTGGAGTGCGCGCTGATGGGTGTCATGGGGAGCCAGGTTGGTACGCACAAAGAGGAGTAAGGGACTGCGAGAGGAAAGCGAGTATAAACGAGGTCTGACGAACTTCCAAAATTAAATCAAGAGAATTCAAAGTCGGATTGAGGGAAAAAGAGGAAAATTTCCAATTCGGGGAAGACAATGAGAGGAAATTTTCAAAGAATAGTGTGGGGTCTAGACGGGAGCATACATAAGACAATCACGAATTCAAAATAAAATTCTGAAAGTATTTGGACGTAATTTCATAATTTATAAAAAATTTAAGCAAAATTGAAAGAATTTCAAAAATAGTCGTATAAATTTTTGAAAGTTCGAGGAGATGATGAAAGATGTAGAGATGAGCTGATAGAAAAAGTTTGAAATGAAATGGAAAATTCCTCAACGTATTTTTGGAATTAAGAGAATTCAAAAGCAATTTGAAATATAGAAAACTAATTCATAAATTAAGAATTTACGATGAAATTTCAGAAAGAATTAGTGATAGCTGCATAAAGTAAGTTGAGAGAAATTCCAGGATTGTTTAGATCAAATGAATAAAATTTCTTGACTTCTTTCAAGATTAAAATGAATTTCAAAGAAATTTCAAAGGAATTCAAAAGGAATTTCAAAAACAACGGAGGAATTTCAGAATTTTACGGGAGATAGAAAATAGAAGGAAAATTTGACATTGGAAGAATTCTTTGTAGTAAATTTCGGAATTTATTTCACGAATTTCTGAAATGAAATTGAATTTTGAAATTAAATAATAAAAAGAATCAAGTAATCCTATCGAATTAGATTGAAATTCTGAACGGCAGAATAGACGACATTGACAGGCAAGCACAAAGAAGAAAGATACGTGACACACGTAGTAGGAATTTTGGATGATGTGACCAATTAGGTGGGAGGGTGGAGGAGAGAAGGGGTGTTGGAGAGGAGATAAAAGATGGGGAAAAATATGAGATCTTTGAGAGGGACCGGCGAGAGGAAGGGAGGGGATTAGTAGGAGGGAGATAGATTGACAATATTGCGCTCCCGGTTGGCCAGGAGCAATGAATGTCCTTCCTCCTAGTCGAGGAAGGTCTTCAGATCACCCCTAAATGGTCTTCTCGATCGTTCCCCCGGTGGAACGATGAGGTCGCCGGATCGAATGCGCGCAATGAAAGTGAGAGGCCGTGGGAATGATTATATGGACGATAGCGACGATGATGATGATGATGATGATGATGGCCACAAACCAGTTATCCGTGTGGTAACTTCTCAAACACCGTTAGCTTGAAGTCCTGAAACGCTAGAGGATCAGGTAGGCCACGCTCCCTCAGTTCGTATTCGTACTAGAAATCAAAATCAAATGAGCTTTTGCCCTTTGTGCTCCAACGAGATGGCTGTTCTCGTTGAGCTCATCATAGGACACTTGCGTTATCTTCTACCAGGTGGGCCGCTCTCACCAACGTCTTGGTGTGCACGTGCGCGGAGCTGGGGGCCAATCGGGGAAGGGGCCTGGGAGGAGGGGGAAGGCGGGGGGAAGGAGGGAGCTCGTGCGCATGTGTGCGCAGAGGGATTTGAAGTTGGGTGGGGGGAAAGGAGGATTGGG